TCTACACCAAAGGCCTTATATAGATGTTTAGAGACAGTTCATATCTTAGCAGACTGTTTTTGTGTTCTTTTTAAGGAGATGGTTGTCGTGTGCCATTGAGTTGGTTCCAAATCACAGTGACCACAGAGGGTTTCTGAGAGTGACTGGTGGGCTTGAACCTCCAACCTTGTGGTTATCAGTCCAATGCTTATCCTACAGTGTCACACCGGGGCTCTTTTTAAGGTGATTAGTTTCATTATTCGTTGAAGCACCTTTGTGACATAGGGTAGTTTCTGTCAACTGTTCTACTCATTATTAATGATACTTGAAAAACTCTTGTATCTTTTGAAGAGTCCTGTTCATTCATCATTTCAACCAGCTGGTCAACTAATATAGCTTATAATTATATTTGGAGTTCTAGTATGGCCCAGTAGGATAAGCACTAGACTCCAAGACCAGTTTGAACTGCAAGGAAAGAGGTTGAAACTTACCAGCTGCTCCTTGGAAACCCCATACAGGGTCCCTATCAGTGGGAACAAATGTGAAGGCACTTAACAAAAACAAGCAAATAATTATACTCAGGTGACTATGATGAACTACTTTTAACATTAAATTACAGTTTAGAATGAAGTTAACTTTTTTCAACATGTCAATACTCAGAAGTATCAGTTTATTTTAATAAAAATGAATTCAAAACCACTTTCACCCAAGCAAAATGAAATGCATTTTGTAAATACTGCTTCTCCTGAATACTATTGATTTCACCATTAGATGGGATCTCATTTTGGACCTCATTCAAAACATACTAATTTGTTACTAAAGTTCAAAAAGCTCTCAGCTGAAAGCAACTTAAACCAGGAATGTTTTCAAGAACTTGATTAAACAGTGACTTGGTTTCATTTGTAAAGCACCACATTTTCCAGAGACAAAGTATGTTTCACTTGGTCAGTATAAAACAGCCCAACTCTTATGTCTACATCCCATAAGAAGTATCTCCTCCATATTTTTCAAATGACTTCTGTTGTTGGCATTGAAAAGCACATTCTCTGACCATACCATCCTGGAAAATGCCTCTGCTTCTGCCGCCCTTCAAAAATGAAACAGCTGCAGTTTAAAGCACTTAAAAAAAACCCTATCTGGAAATTATTCAAGGCTGGTATTTTTTGAGAATATTAAGGATGCTATTTTTTTCCTCATTGATTAACTTTAGATCCATTTTCCAAATATTCTAAAATGAAAATGTGATTAGTTGTTTAGTTTGTTAAAAGTTGTTTATTTTATTGTGCAATAAATCATACTTATGAAAGAATAGCTGCTCAAATTTATCCATAGTTCAAAAATCAATAATAAATGCCCAGATGCTCAGCATATCAGAAGTCATCACATATTTCAGAGGCCCCATTTGTGCCTTTTCTAATTCCTTCCCTTTCCCTCCCCAACAAAGGTGGTGGTTGGTGATTGTGTGCCACTAAGTGGGTTTTGACTTACAGTGACCCTGTATAGGGTTTCCAAGGAGTCCTGGTGTGGCGCTGTGGGCTAATGCAGTCAGACTGCAAAGTCCTCTGAACTTCAAGGTCGGTGGTTCAAGCTCACTAGCTGCTCCTTGGAAACCTCATCATTCTTGCACGGAGTGACTGATAGGCCTTGAGGTTAGCAGTCCAGCTTCAATGATTTTTCACTCAAATTGTCCCTAAGATTCACCCAAGTTGATGTTGTAGCTGTTAATTCATGTCTGCTATAGTATATTACCCTGGTGGTGGTGGTGGTGGTTACGTACCATGGTCATAGGGACCCTGTACAGGGTTTCCGAGGCTATAAATCTTTATGGGAGCAGAAAGCCTCATTTTTCTCCCATAGAACAGCTGTAGTTTCAAACTGCTGACCTTGAGGTTCACAACTCAATTCTTAACCACTATGCTACTGAGCTCCTTTATTCTCTGGTAGAAGAACAAAAGTTGGTAACAACTTACAAGGAGGCTTCCAAACCTTTATAGGAAAATGAAATGAAAAGATAATGGAAGTTTTCCTGAACTGTTTGAAGTCCTCTTGTATTTATCCATTTTACTGTTAATGGATACTTTGGTAATTTATGCTGTTTTTACTACTACTATATTGTTGTTAAGTGCTGTCGAGTGGGTTCTGACCCATAGCAACCCTGTATAGTTTCCGAGGAGCAGCTGGTGAGCTTGAACCACCAACCTTGCAGTTCAAACGGCTTTGCAGTCTGGCGCATAACCCACAGCGCCACACCAGGACTTCTACTACTATTATAAATACTTCTAAAGGAGCTGTGGTAGCTTGGTGGTTATGAGTGGGGCTGCTAACCTCACAGTCAGCAGTTCGAAATTACCAGTGGGTTTGCAGGAGAAAGATGAGGCTTTCTGTTTCTGGAAAGATTTACAGCCTTAGAAACCCTGTATAGGGTTGCTGTGAGTAGGAACAAACTCCATAGCACACCACCACCACCACCACCACGTAAATACTTCTACTATAAACTCCTGGTATACATGTGTGAGAGTTTCTGTAGGGCATTTATCCATAAGTATAACTGCTGTGGTGTACACACGTGTTCAGTTTTATAGGGTGTTTGAAAAGGGTTCTAAAAGTAGTACCTCATGACATTTTATATTGTATTTAAAATATATTTTTTTGGCCAATGGGTGAGATAATGGAATTGCTTTGCTAATCTAATTTGCATTTCCCTTACCACTAATAAGAGTGAACAATTCTTACATGTTTACATTTATGAACCTTTCATTTTATATAAATTTTATTTATTTTTGCCATTTCTCTACAGGTTTACCTTTTTCTTAATGATGTATGTTGTTGTTAAGTGCTGTTGAGTTGGTTGCGGCCCATAGAGACCCTATATATGGTTTCTGAGGAGTGGCTGGTGAGCTTGAACCACTGACCTTGCAGTTCAAACCAACCTTGAAGTCTAGCACATTAACCCACAGCACCGTACAGGACTCCTGATGATGTATTGTTGTTGTTGTTAAGTGCCGTCAAGTCGGTTCTGACCCATAGCGACCCTGTACAGGGTTTCCGAGGGTGTAAATCTTTAGGAGTTGATATATTCAGGACATATATAGTAATCATTTTGTTTTCATGGGGTACACGTATCATCTCCCAGTTGTAGCTGGGGTTCTCATTTTCGCATGGTTATACATTTTGGTCATGATAAATTTTCA